GTATTAGCGAAGACAAAAGGTAAAAAAAACTGAAAACTACTCAGTAAATGCTTTTAAGTTGATAACCTATCTTCAGCAGCGTGAATCTGCTATTCACTAACAACTGTATCCACGCCTTCACATCCAGTTTTTATAGTACTCGCGATGTTGTTCAGATCATCAGTCCTTTTTTGCTGCATTTGATTTAATTCGTTGCTTTTTCTTACGCTTAACTTTTTATTTGTAAATTTGCACTAAAAGATCATTTAGTTGTTGATGTTCCAAGTGGCCAAATGTTCGATTAGAAAAAGTTCGAATAGTAGTCGAAGACATTGTTAAGATAGCTTTTGCTGTTCTTTGATCAATAATACTATTTTCTATGTAAATATTGACAATAGGAATACTTCTTAAGAATGCTGCAGATACTAATGCAAACATGGTTACTGTTGATGAAGAACCTAAGATTATTACAGCTGTACTTTGTGTACCTTGCATAACCATATCAAATGAATAAAGTACTTCAGCAGCAGCAGTGATTGGTGTTGGATTTGTATCATAATCACGACCAATCATAAAATCATGAAATGATTCAACCACTTTTTTTATTTCAGTACTTTTCAAATCACTTTTCATGACATTTGAAGTGACAAAATGAATTGAACCACGAATATGAGTCATTTGTTGTCGTGTAGATGATAATAAAAGCATTGCATCATTATGTGTTTCAGCATATAATAACAATGATGGTTTCAAATGTTTATAGCTATGCATTAGACGATCACCTCGTAACCATAATTGATCTTTGATATATGTTCTACTTGATGCAGTTCCGCTCACTCGTCCAGTAGTATCACCTTTATCACTAATGGCTAGATAATCTTTTGAAAAAGAATGAGTTGAAATATCTTTTCCATCAACTGGCATAACAAAACTTCTTAGATTAGCATATTTTCGGGCATTTGCACATAAATGAAAATCTTCACCAGTATTCCATGAATATATTTTATCCTGAAACATAAGTTTTACCCATTCACTTTCCATAAACCAACTTCCACCAACTACATCTGCTTCAATTATTTTATTACTTCTTGATACAGGACCATAGAAAACATTGGGTTCTGCTGCAGTACCTTTAGTTCCTAAAATACCTCGATATTGTTCTGTATTAATTGTAAATAATGCAGTTTCAAAATAGCGTGCTTGAGGTATACAATCATCATCAAAAACAACTACATATTTTGTTCGACATTGAAGAGCAAGTTGAAATCTTCCAAAATATTTCAATTGCATTTCACCCATAGCTACGAATAAAACTGAAGGTAATTTCATACAAAAGTTTAGACATTTGTCAAAACAATTAGATATAGTCTTATTATCAGTAGTAATATTTATATTGCATATTTTCTCTGTACACCATTCATAACAATAATTTGATCCATTATTAAACAATGATCGTATTTCATCAATTTCAATTTTGAGTTTATGTGTAATAGGTGAAGCAAAATAAACAATCCATATTTCTTTAGGTGGATGTATTTGTAAAATAAGTGCTTCAATCCATCTTCGAATTAAACCTTCACGTTTATACATTCCAATAATAGCAGTTATTGCAAATGTTTCTTCATTTTTCTTTGATATATTATATTGACTAGGAAGTTTGAGTAATTCATTAAGAGTAAGAGCAGGTCGAACTTTTGTAAGATTATTCATGATGTTTCTTCTAATAGTATGTGATGGTATATTAGATAGATTTAAATGAGAATAGACAACTTGAGCAATAGAATCTTGATGAAATTTTGTTGTACATTTTAGATTTGGTTTATGTTGATCATAAAAGTAATTGTCTATAATAGTTGCAATTCTCTTTGATGCTTTTCCATCACCAAAAATATTTGTTTGTAATGTTCGATTGATTGATTTGAAATTTTTTAATTCAATATTAACTGCTTTTACAATTTCATCATAATCAATTCCAATTTGTTTAATTGTACCAAGATAAATACCTTCAGGTCTTTCAGTAGTCATTCGCATTAATATAACAGTTTTACCAATACTAACTGCTTCTTCTTGAATACCACCTGAATCAGTCATAACAATATCTGATTGTAATAAAACATGTCCAAATATATCATAAGATATTGGATCAACAATTTTAACATTATTTAATCCATCTAAATTTGTTAATACTACATGTTTTACATTTGGATTAGGATGAACAGGTAAAATAATTAGAACGTTATTTTCATTTTCTTTTGCTATAGTTGAAATAGCACGACACATCTCGAATAAATATTCAAAATTCTCTCGTCTATGCATTGTAACAAGAATAATAGTAGAATTCTTTGAATTTGTATAATTTCTTTTAAAATGATTAATAGTTCTTAATATAGAAATATCATTTGTTGCATTCATTCGTTTGTAATATTGATAGAATGCATCAACACCAGTATTTCCAGTAACAAAAATATCTGTTTCACATGCACCTTCTCGAAGAAGTACTTCTTTAGCAAATGTTGTAGGAGCAAACAT